GATTTTGATGAAACTTCGCACAAATTTAGGATATTTTTTTCCAAATATATCCTAAATATATGCGAGAATCCCAGCTCGCGATTTGCAGAAACAACCGAGATTTTTAGATCGAAAGTCGGCGAAAATTTAGGACTTTTTGCCGAATTTCGGCAAGAAAAGTTTCATGCCTATTTCTACCGTAAAGGAGAATGTTTCTACAAAAAATCCAATTTCTCCGCACGAAACTGCCAAAGTTATGGCCAAAAAGCGCTTATCTCTCTGTCCGCTCTCCACGTTTAGCGTGCTCTCTTGGCGGCAAAAATCGTTCGATATCTCGGCGGCGCCCGCAAAGCGCGAGCTAAAACTTTCAGGAACTGATATTTAGTCCATACCCGACGTGTGTGCAAAATTTAAAGAAAATCTGAGCGTCGCTCTTGGGGTACTTCCTCTGTAAACTTATCTCCGACTGAACTTTCGGCCGGTTTTCAGAGGCCGCCTGAGAACATTGATGTCATCCCAATGAACTATCCCAATCAAAATTCAACCTCGGTCCATTGTCGGTGACCACAGCACTAAAAAATTGTGACTACAATCCCAAGAAATCCCGCTTAATGTCCATAAAACGGCCAAATGAAAAAAACCTCAGCTCTTTGCCCTGAAACATAAAAATTTCGGGAGATCCTCGAGAAATCTTCGGGGAACGTACTCCAGAGTACCGGCGCACTCGAATAAAAATAATTTTTCGAACCACTTTCGGCAGCACGTTCATGTTGACAAAGTGGGGGCCTGCATAATTAATGCACGCTCATCCTTTTCACTTTTGTTTTCGAGGTCAAAAAAGTTTTTGGGGAAAGGAAAATAAAGCGAAAGAAGTGCCATAATTGATGATTTTAGGGGAATTTCAGCGCCGTATTGGCTGGTGATAGTGCTAAAAAATTATGAATAAAAAAGGAATGTCTAACTTGGATGATGATGCGAGAAAAATTCTCTAAAAAGTAATGCTAGGCACTTGAATTTCACGTACTTTCGTTTTATGTTTATGCATACTATAGATGCTGAATAACCGATGGGAATTTATGAGCGGAGCAGCCAAGTTTCTATTCGCCAGCTCGGCGAATCAAAAGGTAAAATTGAAGTTTCAAGTACGCAAATTTTTCCGAGCCTTTCTTCCGAATGACGCGACCATTTTCAGCCGTCTTTCAGCCTTTGCCAAATTGGTCAACTAATCGATAATATACATGCTAAACGCTGCCGATAATACCGTCCAACCCAGGCTTAAAAACCCTTCTTTTAGGCTCATGTGTACAGTTTTATATCCAACGAATAGACATAATAAATCATCAAAACCAGTAATAAAAACATATTCAATCATTTTTTTGGTCACCTCGTCGAGAATCCTTCAACAACGACAGTCACGCAATGTTTTGAAAACATAATATGTAACATGTCGGCATCACTTTTGTTGCGTAATCTCAACGTAGGCGATGAGGACATAGAGGATTGGATGAAAAAAAGCTCAAATTCAGAGGATCGTCTTCCAGTTTCGGGTGGAATTACTGTTAGTTGCTTCACAGATTATTAGCAAAACAATTATGGGCAAAAACATGGCTTGGCCGAGCTGACTTTTCACGAAAAAAAAGATTGTGAATTCTTCGCATACATCTGCAAAGTGATGTTTGTTGTTGGAGCTGGCATACTGTTCCAGCTTCAAGAGCGGCTAAAAATCATCCCTTGAGCCATTTGCACTCTCGACAAAAACAAAAACAAAGATGACTTAATCTGCTCCATGGCTTAAGGTGGGACAAAACCTACGCGCTTTCGGCGCGGTTCCTGGGACAAAGTGTAAATAAATAAGAGCCTATTTTTTCCGGCCCCAGCCCCTCGGGCGTTTTTTTGGAGTGGGAAAAGTCGCGGAAATTCGAGCATTCGGATATTTGCACTGTAAAGAAATCCGGCTGTAAGTGAAATTTACATTTGCGTGATGCGGGGAAAAAGTTTTATTTGAGACTTTGCGGGAGTCGCCCTGAGGCGATTAATGTCTCGGCGTTAAATTTGGAGTGTAATTTGAGAGTGGTGGGGCCTTTAAATGGCAACAATTTCATATTCGTGCTCGGAAGTTTGACTCGACAAAGACTTTGGGAGGGGATGGTCAATTGAGAGTGGAAATGGATGTTTTGCCGGATGTCTGAAGAAATTTTCAGAACTTTCAAAGAATAAAGATCAGAAAACATACAGTCCCAATGATCTCAAAGTCATGAACGACTGAACCACGGAGAGTTATGGACTGGGTTTTGCGAAAAAAGTAGTATACCATCAGACTGAATTCGCCTCGGAAAGGGAAGTTCTCTAAGTACAGCGCTCAGACGTTCTTTGAATTTTCCACGCAGACTTGACCTGTGCCACACCTGAGTTTCTAAAAATTTTATTTTGCACTTTGCATAAGAACCCTTCCACTGGGTCATTGCGAGAGAACACCAAACGCGGATAGCGGTCACAGAGAAAAAGGTTTTTTTGGTAATAGGCGAGAAAAATTTTTATCTCATCGTTAGAATTCGTTAAAAAATTGCCAAATTTTAACCAATTTTTGAACTAAAAAACGTGCTATGTTCTTTCAAAGCGCCATGTTAAAATCACATATTTATGTCATGGCAAACTTTGGGAACATCTTGTCTCACATTCCGATAAAAATCTACATGCGGTAAAGAGTTTTTAGTTGTTTTTTTAGGCTCCACTTCAGTAAATTTTCCCTCACCGGCTTCTTTGAGATTTTTCAAATCCTAGACTGTATTTCGTATTCTTTGCAATCACATTTCGTCATAATATTACTGCAAGATTTTCAACCTTGACTCTTCGCGCCAAAAATAATCTTTTACTGAGTCACAAATACGGTATTTTCCGGTGTGAATCAGAGTTTTCAAATCTTTTATTTTTTGCGTAAACCTCTTACAAAAAACTTCAAGCTGAGCCAGGTCAGCAATGGTATTCTCAAAAATAAAAAAAAATGTGAGTCATCATTTTCAGCGAGAAAAGTCACAAATTGTGAAGTGAATATTTGAGATTATGAAAATTAAATTATGAATGTCATTACATTAAAAATATTTCTTTTTAAATATAAATCTTTCGCAAAGCTGTTCGATCCACAATTCTTTATTTATCTGACCTTTAACGATCCGATGACACTGTGAGATCGCTTTCGTAACGTGCCGTAGAAAACACCGTTGGAAAACAGCAATTATTCTTCTAAGTGACGTGATGGAAAGCTGTAGGCTTAGCAGAACTGTCATTAATAAAAATATTCTTGATCCCGACAAATTATAAAACTTTCAGTTTACTGCGATGACCGCAAAAGTCAAAAAAAGGTGCAGTCAAGATGAACAGAGAACACGTTGACAAGGATGCTTTGATTTCAAGTTGTCTATGTCTAGCAAAAAAACTTTTGGTGAAAACAACATCTTTTGTCTTTGATTTACATTATGTTGTGCTAATGTTTAATATGTATGTATATTGGACAGTTGTCATGCATTTTTCACAATTGCGCAACATTTAATTCTTCGGTCTTCATGACTCACATGACCTTTTCCATAAACTACATGTCATCCTTTTTTTATAAAGAAGGATTTAGCAGAATTTGCGACAATCGGAACTTTTTGTTCTCCATTTTCCTTTGAGTGGCTGCACTGTGTGGGCAGAGATCAAACACGTCACAAACTGTTAGAGTAAAAATCTTAAGATTTATCGTTGGTTTCTGGCGAAGGCTTGCGATGATTTTGAAGACACACTTTAAAGATTTTGGAGATAAATGTACATATACATGTATGTGTCGCATTGGTTATAAATTTTTACACTTGAGTTCTTTGAAAAATGGATTACAAATTCTTGCAAGTTTAACAGTTAAGATTGGCTGTTTACCTAAGAAAAGTATTTTATGGCTTGTTTAATTATAATATTTACATGTATTGCTTTCACTTTGATGGAACAATCACTTTCATTGATGAAATGAACGTGTGATTGAAAAGTTGCACTTGCAAAAATGGCACAAATAGAACACTGTTTAACTTCTTGTCACAAAGCTAATGACAGTTTTGTCGAAAGCCACGACAACCCAGTAACCAGACAAGACGAGAGCTCAAGAGACAACTCCTTTATTCAGTGGAAAGGGGGTCTTTTATAGGGAGGTCCCACTTTGGAAAGTACAATCAAATTTGAATAAATGAAGACAGTTCCTCGTGGGAAAATCCTCGAAGTTCGGTCGTTCCGTCTCATAAGTTCAAAACATTTTTGTGAACAAACTGGAAGGTTGTGGTAAACTGTAGTCATTTTGTGGGGTGTATTTTTTCTTACTGTAGTTATCCCCTCGTTCAAAAATAGCTTTTTTTTATTCATCTCAGCCCCAAATTTCCGGACGACCCGCCCGTACGAATAATATATTTTACATACTGATGTGTGGCGGCTAGACGGACCGCTTCGCCAACCCTGTTTTCTAGTCAAAACACAGTCTCATTGCGATTCATTTGCTGTAAGACCATGGTCCCAACTACGTAATGATGTGTAGCGACCAGACGGACCGATCCGACAACCCTCTTGTCCGGTCAAAACCGGCCTCATTGAGATTCATTCGCTGTAAGACTATGGGCCCAATTACGTGCCTCTGTACTCTTCCGGACTCGGTCTTGGGTGAGTTATAAAAACCACCACATTTACTATATATAACTCATTCAGTGCTCGAGTTTTGCGTCTTGAAGATAACGCGGAACAGTCAGCTTTAAGGGTCTGTAAAGATGACATTATATTTGAAAAGTTTCGTTCAGTGTAGCTGCATTAAAAAGTCGTTGAACTCTCATCTTGTCTATAATATGTAGTCTGCGTGTTGTATCATATTATGTACATTCCTTACAGTTTGAATACGATATAATGTAATATAAAAGCGTGGGTTATTTCCACGGCTGATAATCTGGCATCATTTCAGCGCCCGCCAGAATTGTTGTTTGTTGTTTCACCCACAAAAAGTACTCGTTCGAATCATGGTAGCGGTCGGTTCGCTGTTCGTTTTCCTGGCGTTGGTCGCGTTCGGCGTTTCGTCGATGGTCGGCAGAGAAGGGCAGCGACTGTCAAGAGGTGAGCACTTTGAATGTGTTTTTGAGAGCGGCTGTCTCAAAACAAGCATAATTTGAGGACATGTTCCCAGACTTCACGAATTTTCTTTTCAAAGTCATGTAGTAAAAGAAAGTTGTTTAATATTCGCTATGCACTTTTACGACACAATCCCTGTAATTGCGAAAGGCGGCAAGGAATTTCATATGCAGTGGGAGACCTGATCCAGTGGCAAAAAACGTACCATTTCGCATCCGGAAGTATCAAAAATGTGGCAAAATGCTTCCCTCTCCAAGTGAAAAAATTTCGTTTTGAATGGTGCGCCCTTTTTCCTCACAAAAAGAGCGGGCGCGCTTTTGAAATCTGAGGTTTTTTTCAAGAGAGGGAGGTATTTTGCCACATTTTTTGATTCTTCCTGGAAGCAAAATGGTACGTTTTTGCCATTGGATCAGGTCTCCCACTGTATGAGATTTAAGGAAAAAATAGCATGACTTTGCACTTAAAGTAATGGCAAAATTACCGTCCTAAAGGCAGTTTAAGGATATAAATATTTTTCCAGGCCATGGCCACAGAAACGCCCGATCCATTTACGGGGGCAGCTTCGCATCTCCCCGCTCTCTCAACACCATGCTGAAACAACCAATCTTGTCGTTCGGCTCGTGGCGCTCAAAGCGCGAACTACCGGTCGAAACCCCGGAGGCCACGAATTTCGAGGAGCAAAAAGAGGAGGTTTTAGAGACAATCGACAAACTTCTACTCAACGAACTCAAAAAAGAAGTCAACGATGACGCGGAGATCATCGTTGGCGACAATGTGCAAGAAAATCCCGTCCGACCAAGCCGACTGTGGCGACAATTTGGCAAATTCGCGATCGTTGTGCAACTGTAGACGCTGCGGAGATCCTTAAACACTTTTAATCGATCTCTCTCCTTTTGTGATTCGGGAATCCTCGCACGTCAAACTGGGGAGTCCGGTGGCCGGAATAGACACTTCGCTATCGGTTTTTTACACTTCGTCTTGATTTCGCAGAGAAAGAGAGAAAAGAGACACGCAAAAGCGTACTCTCTCGCACCAAAAAATTCCCCATTTCTTCCCCGACAAAACGTTTTTTCGCGTCTTTTTCTGGCAAATTACCAAACCATTCACCGAAATGTCTTTTGAGTGCGGAATGATGAGGTTTGTGTGAAAAACTATAGCTTAGTGTTCTCCTTTCTATTTATGGATCTTGGATGTCTCATTCGTTGACGTCTACAGCCAAATTACAGAGATTCCGATCCCATTATTCAGCTTCCTCAATTTGAGGTCATCCCGATTATGTTGAAGTCTCCCTCTCTCTCTGTTGCCCGTTCTTTTTTCAGTTCCAAAAAAAGACAAAAGAGATACCGTTATTCCTTCTTAATTTATTGTATTTTCAATTTACATATTTAATAAAAAGTATTATGCGCAAAAGAAAGTGTCTTTCGAGTAGTATATTTTCTACCGGCTTTTTTTACGTATAATATTTCTCACGATTGCGCAACATTTAATTCTTCGGTATTCATGACTCACATGACCTTTTCCATAAACTATGTGTCATCTTTTTTTATAAAGAAGGATTTAGCAGAATTTGCAACAATCGGAACTTCTTGTTCTCCACTTTGCTTTGAGTGGGTGCTGCTGCACTGTGTGGGCAGAGATCAAACACGTCACAAACTGTTGGAGTAAAAATCTTAAGATTTATCGTTAGCTTCTGGCGAAGACCTCCGGTGATATTGAGGATACAGTTTAAAGATTTTGAAGGTAAAAATACATATATGTATGTATAGCTTTGGTCACAACTTTTTACCCAAAAATTCTTTAAAAAATTGCTTACAAATTCTTGCAAATTTAATGGTAAACAGTAATGTTTACCTAATTGTAAGAAAAGTATTTTATGGCTTGTTTAATTACATATATCGCTTCCCATTTTGATGGAACGAATACTTTCATCGATGAAAACACCGTGTGATTGAAGAGTTGCACTTGCAAAAGGGGCAAAAAATAGAACACTGTTTACCTTCTTGTCACAAAGCTGATTACAGTGCGAAAAACTTTTATGAAAAAATTGCAGGTTACTGTAAACTGTAGTCATTACTTTTAGTGCGCAAAACAATCAGCATGGATGGGTTCACATTCCAACGAATAAAAATTACGATTTTATGGGGTTCATCTGGAATCATTTCTGATACTTTGTGCAAAAGGTAAAGCATCGTATAAAGGTAAAATACGTATTAAAATTCCATATTTTATTTTTTAGCAACTTTTTACAAAAAGCATTGCAGTTACAGTAACTTTCCCCATTTTTTGTCCAAATTCAGATTACATTTCGATCTTTAGAGAAATTGCATAGCCTCTTTGAGACCACCAAAGAACGGGAAAACGCTCTGCAGTCATTTTTGAAGTACATACGAATGTCAGCTCTTATTCTTTTCAACCTAACGTTCAAGTCGAACCATCACTGGTGTACAATCTATTTTTAACCAGAAAGGAAGTATAGCAGATACGGTAACCAAAGATTTGCAAGGTCAAATTGTGGTCTTTTTAGGATCTTCAGGGCATGAGAAAAATAGCAATAAAGAGAAAAATGTTTTACAATTTTGTAGGATATTGTTACCGGGGTAAGTTTTAATCTTTCCGTAGATTTCTCGTATTTGCAAATTGCAAAATTCACCCAATGCAGCGACAATGCTGAATTCTTTTGAAAAATCCGAGTTAAAGTCACATGACATCGTTGATGTGAAAGTGTGTCGGCGCCCGATTTTTGAAAGGATTTTTTGAATCGAAAGTCGTTCAAGCGATTTAGCAAAAAAATGCGATGACATGACTTGCGGAGTTTGCAGGAAAACTTTTTGTTGCTATTTTTATCGCAAATGGCAACCCATAGACAGTATGGTATTTCAAAGACGTTGCAAAAGGATTGGACATTCAGTAAGTGTTCATCAAAAGATTTGTTTCTAAAAAACGGATATTTATGCGAGTGTTGAGAAAAATTTCTACTACGGCTGATTGGCATAGCTTTCCCAAGAGGCAATTTTAACAATCACGGCAAAATTTAAATATGAAATTAGAAAATAAAAGCGCCGCATAATTATGCATCAAGCTAAGAAGAGCTAAATTTTTCCTGACGTTCAATTTCAAGCTTCATCCCGCGAGCCCTCTGAAATTTTAATAGTTACTATCACGGTTTCTGTAAATTTTTGAATCTCTCTATTTAAGCATTGTTTACAAATTCCGTATTTTAAAAAAGGGTATCTAGCTATTTTACTACTTCACTAATATTTTTCTTTACTCTGCAATTTTTTCCCGATGCACTGTTATTGTTTTTTTCTCATTTCCACAACATCTCAATTCTCATGTTTTCCAAATTCCCCTCACGCTTTCCATCACACTTTACACCCGCTTACAACGCCCTGCGTGCAAAAACAAACCCGACTCCAAAGAGTGACCGCCCTCTTCTCCACGATGTTTTAAAAAGTTCAAAAACGGCGACGTCACCGTCTTTGAACTTGTGTAATCACAGCTGGACGGCGAGCGTGATTTTCTTCCGGCTTAACAGTTTAATTGCATCTTCAGCGCCAAGTGGAGCGAATTAAGTCAGGTAGCCAACTGTTTTTCGAACAAAAACACACTTAATTTTTGGGAAACAACATAATTAACAATTTGAAAGTAACTTTTTGTACCGTAATTTTGAAAGGAATTTTCGAGAGGAAATGGACTTTGTTTCCAGATTTGACCCGAGCTTCTGGAGATTTGAAGCCCAGATTGTTACAAAAAAGACTGTGGCGTTCAGTCAAGCCTCTGTATAATAGCCAGGACCAAAAAATTATTTTTTATGGAAGTGTGGCATAGCACAGAGGTTCATTATGGCGAAATGTTGCCAAAAACCAACTCTTAAAACCTTCGAAATTCATCATTATAGAAAGGTTTTGTTGTGTTCAAGGTTCGTTGTACAGAAAACCCAATATATGGGTCTGTCGGCAAAATGGTGAGCGCAATGTTGCTGCATCTATAGCGTCGCTAAAAGCCACTTAATCTTGCCGCGGCACAACTCATTTTCTCGAGGGCCATGCGCTTTTCTACGCGTTAAATTTCTCGTCATTTTCTCAACAGAATGATATAATCATGGTTATGATTTTTAATTTTTCTTACACTTATTATCAGACAAAAAATCAGATGAAAAAAATTCCCACTTCCGAGAAGAAAGATTACACTGATAAAAGAAAGAAAGGGGACAAATAAGGGCACGCGCACTGAATTTGAACTGGTACAATAAGGTTATTCAAGCTTTGTGTGCATATTATAAAACATGCAGAGTGGATGGACATTTACTCTGTAAATTATTTCCCTCATTTTGAAGGTAATTTAATGGGATTATCTCCAAAACAAAGTCTGACGGTTCATCGTTGGGTTAGCTTGTTATTCAACGTCTAGCCCCCCTAGATTGTTATCAATCAAAGACGGTTGTTTTACAAAAAACATTTGAGCGGTGTGCTCTTTAAAAATTACGGCGGCTATTTTAAGCAAATTTTTTTAATTCGCCCTGACGGTTTTTTTCCTGTTTTTGTCTCGCCCTTTATTTCTACCGTACCTCAAAAATTCCATTGCATCGCCAAAATTCAACTGATCAAGCCGAAAAAATATGATGACTGGTTCCTTTTAAAAGTCATCGCTCTCCTTTTCACGACATTTTTTTTATCTTCCGCCATTGATAGTTGGATTTCCGCAAAATCTTAAAAAGTCATCGTTTTTCATCGACTATATTTTTAGTCATCGAAAATTCCAGAAAACCCAAAGATTGTTTTAATCGATAAACCCGCAGAATGACCTAAATTTTTTAGTCTGTCGCGTAAATATGTCACAACGATGAGCAAAAGTACAGTATCCGAAGCAAAGGTGTTCTTCGATTTTTAAAATAACAGATTTCTGATTTTTTTTTGTTTTTGGTATGACATCAAACGCTTTTTTGTTTTTTAATGATCGCGAAGACACTTTACAAATAACGTACCATGTTCTCAAATTAGTCGCGGCATCAACAAACAGTTCATTATTAAAAAAAGGTCCCGTGATTGATCATTTAGACCATATTGAGAGTACAGGGTGCGCCAAAAAAAATGGACAAAAATAAAAACGGTTGTGTCTCGCCACGAAAACCGTAACGAGTAGGGAAAAAGGGGCGATTACGACCACAAAGGACTCATTTACAAACCCCTTAAATCTCTTTTTTCCTTTCCTACCAGTTTTTGCAACATGGACAAAAAACCAAAGAGGTCCAAGTTGTGCCTTTATTTTCTATATATTAGGGTGAACCAAAAGTTTTTGCCGTTTTTTAGGTGTCTTTTTGTCCAATTGTTTTTGTACGAAATAAAGATTTTTAGATGAATGTATTATATATATTTTTAAAGGTCTTGAACTGCTTTATCATAATATATATTAAAACTTTTAATTGGTCTTTTATTTAAAATCTTTTAACCTGTAGAAAAAACATGGAAAAATCCGAAATTCGTGTTTTTTTACGTTATTACCGAAAACAAGGCTTCAACGCAACTGCAGCAGTAAAGAAGATAAGCGAAGTTGAAGGCTACAATGTGGTCTCAGATCGTACTGCGCGATTGGTTCAAACGATTCAACGACGGCGACACGGACCTCGAGGGCAAGACATCTTAAAAAACAATTTTGAAGGCGTAATTCACTTCGAGTTGGTTCCAAATGGTCGGACTAGCGACGCAGACCTCTACTACGCTCCACTCGATCGAATGTATGCAGCGATTGGCAAAAAATATCCCGATTTGATCAATCGAACCCGCGTACCCCTGCAACAAGACAGCGCAAAACCTCGCCCGCCAAACAAACGAAGGAAAAGATCAAAACTCTCGACGCCATTGATTTTTCTCGGAAAAAAATAGTTTGGCGTTGTGGTTCCCTCCGTACAACTGTAACTCGAGCTTCGGATAAGTTCGAAGATGTTGATAGCATCCAGAAGTTTCTAGGGAGTGATAAGCCCAGGACAGAAAAGACTCCGGCTCGGAAGAAGAGCATCGGTAGTCGGAGTGACCCAGATCCTTGCAGATCTTTGGAACGAATGGCTTCTGAATTGAATATCTCGGCGTTGTCGGTCAGAAGAATTGCAATAACCGACATAAGGTGTTCCTCATATTTTATTCTACGTGGGTTATGCGTTGATTCTCCAGAAAAATGCAAGGCGCGGCGCCAGTGCGTCCAAAACTTGAGAACAGAAGCCCCTGACACGGTCGTTTGCACGGGTATCCACCCTTTCCGTTTTGAGCCCTCGGCTCTCCGCGGAAAAGGCAGGTTTAAGCTTGAAACTTTTTGACGCTATAGAAGAGATGTAGATTTATTCAGGATAGGCTGTTTGAGCCAGTTAGAGTTAACGGCGGCTTTGCAGCGTATCTTTTTAAAAAAATATCCATTTTTCGTCCAAAATTTTGAAGTTTTGTCACTACCTCGAAGCATGATGATTCCGGAAAGTTAAAAATCGGTGTGTTTAGTACGTACTTGGTCGGGTAACAACCCAAAGCTTAACAGTTGTCCAAAGCCTAATCAGTTTCTCACTACAAAATTTTTTTTGGTTTTCGAAGTTTTGCGTTTTATTTTTTTGCCTCAGCAACGCAAGTTTGGATGTCCGCGGCATTGATATGGAAAGTTATTATTACTATTCCTTTGCATATGTGATAATACTCGTCTTAACGTATTCGACAACTTTTATTTGAAGTTTTGGTGACGCCTCAAAAAATATTTATGCCTGATTTTCCAAAGGACCCATTTTCGAGAATTGTGATCGGTACATGGTCAATTTGAACCTCCGAGAAAAAAAGTTGCAGTAAAGTTATACTCCCATTCTTATCGTTTATATACTGTTTGAATGTTTGAATGTCGCTATTTATTGGACCAAAACGTTTCCACAAATAATCTACCTAAGAGCCAGATATCTGCAAAAAATTTTTGTCCATTTTTTTTGGCGCACCCTGTATGTATGTAAACCGGTTGGAAAATGAAACAGAAATGCCCAGCAGTACAAGCTGGTTACGGCCAGAAAATCTCCGCATGGACGTTAAAAACGCATAAAATTTACGACTGTTCAGTTCAAGTAACTATAAACGGATCGGTTGCCAAAAACAAAAGGTTTTTACCCTATACGCTGCTCACTCCAGGTCAAAAAAGTAAGAAAGTTGGCCTAAAATAATCGCATGTAGGGCCCAAATTTGGTATCAGAAAGTATCGCTGAGATCACACAAACATTTCTTCTTCTTATAAGAAAAAACTGCTTGGATTGTGTTTGAAATCTTCTTGGAGCTTCAAGAAATTCTGTTATAGATAGTGTAGGACAAAAAGTCATAGTTTTTTATGTAAAAGTTTAAAGTTCTTTACAATCACAATGATGATTTAATGCTAAATTGTTACATTTTTTCCTATTAATGTTACATTTTTTCCTTTGACTTACTATGTCAAAGTTTACCTCCAGAAAATTCATTTTTTAATGAAGTGGTTTCTTACATAAAATAGCTTATTGACCTTAGTCATACTTATTAAGATTGTTTACACTATGTTAAACTCAATAACAGTAAACTCGCCGCTATTATTTGGGAACCAAAGCCCAAGATTCAACTTCGAAGTCACTGAATGACCTCGTCTGATCGTCTTTCATATTTTCAAAAACAATTTGATGACATTACACTCTGTAAAGTGCTTCTAAACCCCATTTATTTTTAGCCTGTCGAGCTTTTAAAAGTGAGAATAGAGCTGTTGGCGTTCTCTTCAAAAATTGCGCAATCTACGCATTTGATCTTCGAAAGATCAACGACAAAGAGCGTTCGCACGCTCGGAAAACATGTTCGAAACCACCTGCAAGACAATGGTATATAACAAGCAAGCTAATTGAGGGTGTTGATGAAAAGTTGTTGATGGTTTTTTGATTGTATTGTCATTTGATTACCACAGATTCGGAATAGAGACCGTTTTGAAAAGTATTTTAGGAACCAAATAACAAAATTCTACAAACAGAATGGGCAAAAAACAATTATTGTGCCGTAAAAATACTAGTCAACCAGTAGTTTTACTACCATCTGTAATGGAGAGGAAGTGGCCAACTTGTAAAGCTTTGAAAAGCGTTGCTGAAAATTCACGAACCTTTGAGGACAGCGGTAGATTTTTTTCATACCTATTCAATAATCCGCAGAGACATACGGTGAGGGGCCTGATCTAGTGGCAAAAAACGTACCATTTTGCATCCGGGAAGTATCAAAAATGGGGCAAAATGCTTCCCTCTCAAGTGAAAAAGTTCCGATTTCAAAAGCACGCCCGCTCTTTTTATGAGGGAGCCCTTCAAACCGAAGTTTTTTTACTTGGAGAGGGAAGCATTTTGCCGCATTTTTGATGCTTCACGGATGCAAAAAGGTACGTTTTTTGCCACTGGATTGGGTCCGTCACTGTATGTTATGAAAATGAAAGGAAACTGAATTTTTTTCATAAGAAATTACAACGTTGTCACAAAAGAAAACACGCGATTTTCGTAAAATTATGGCCCAAGTGCCTCTGATTGTTAAACTACATATTACAATTTTTTGTGTTTTCTTGTGGAGAGAAAACCCAAGCAAAAGTGTCTTCCATAGATGCATAAATTTAACTTTAAAAACGCACTCAGTATCCCAGAATTTCTTCGAAGTCTAGTGCACGAGTCCTTCCTTATTGTTAATCCCGGGATACCGCTGTTCGCAAAATGCACCGCACCTTTTCCCCGAAACTCCCACTATCTCCGCCCAATTGGTATCACACACTTACTCTGATGACCTCACCGGTCCGCCAAAAGGTTGAATCACATTTTAAACTTTCCCCTTTTACCTTAAACTAGATCGCCTTCTCATCAACACTATTATGTCTTTCGGTAACGGTCATGGGTGTTTGTTAAACAGTCTGTTTACATTTTGAGAGACTTTCAAGACGTTGACATTCTTCCCGAGAACGTTGTTCTCATCGTCGCTAAGAGGGAGGGTCTTTTTTTCGCTGGAGCTGGGCGGAGTCTGCCGCAAAGCCTGAGGGAATAAAAGCGGTTTGAGTGGGAGATCTCGTCAATTCAATCTTCAGCGATTGTTAGAAACAGTCAACGTCTACTACTGCTATACATCCTTTGATATCTTGGCTACAGTTTACTACAGCTGCCAGTAATTCATTGACAAATCTACCAGAATAAATCTACCGTAACCCAAGCGCCATCAAAATGAAATTCCTCGCTGTCTTCGCCCTGATCTTCGCTGTTATTGCCTCTGTGTCGGCGCAATACCACTATGGAATGGGAACCAACTACGCCCCATACTACAGCCAATACAATTATCAGCCAAGTGGACTGTTCTTGCCCAGAACCCCAGCCATCTACGGCGCTGATAACACTCGGTCATTCGCTGTCTCTTTCGGCACTGGAAATGGTCTGTAAGGATACCAAAGAACGGGCTGTAAATCTCATGGAAACTCAATCGTATCTTCGCCAATGTACGAGCAGCGACCCCACAAGGTACCGTGTAAATTACTGTATATACAACTCCACATATCTTCACTCAAATCATCAGCATTAACTTGAAACATCTTGCATACTAAGGCCCGTGTAATTGTCTCAAATTTTATCCCGAGTCTTACAGTAATTTCACATCTTTTACTATGCAATATAACCAGCATATATTTATGTTACATTGTAAATATCTCCCTCATTCCTCAACAAATTTGATCTCAGTTATCTCCCATTTGTTTAACCAGCAACTGCAATTCTACTGTTCATGGTTCAACCTTTTTTACACTCAATAAAAAGTATAAAACAATTACTTTTGTGACTGCTGCTCGAAAGAAGAAAGAAAACAATAAAACAAATGGGTTGTAAAGCGGTTCAGAGAAAGTAAAAAGGCTTGAATTAGACGCGCAATTAATGATGACTCTAATGAATTTATATTTGGGAAGGTGAGAAACAAATTCTTCAAGAAGAATGGAGAGTATAAGAACAAGCCTGAAAAGGGAAGAAACTGTATTTATTTTTGGATATAGCTGGCTCTGGAGATGTTCAAAATCCTCCATTTTCGTCTGGTATCAAAATATACTTGACAATGAAGTTTCAACATAAATTTCGCAATACTTCGTGTAAAGCTAGAAGCACGGCAATTATAATACTAAAAATTTTAGCCTCTCACTTTAACCAGACAGCCAAGTTTAGCCGTTTTTCAAAGACAAGAGTTTGCTCTAGAGATCAGTGGTTCACAATAGGATACAAAAAAATACGAATGCTTTTTGCGTAGAAAATCAGTTTCTTTTTAAATGAGCTGTATCCAAAAAAAAAATACAGGTGTGCAAAATCACTGCCAGGGATCATTTTTCGCTCATTTCTGATCTTCGCATCTCCTATCTTTACGCTATCCCTTGCAAACTTTGTCGTCGCTGCTTCAGGGCAACACAAAGAAATATGGTGATTTCCTGCCCACAAGTGTCCCACCTGACCGTAAATGCCCCCCTGCCCGAAAACGTGGCCTCCCAGCAAGGTGGCTGCCCGCAAGTGCGTGTCCGCATAAACTTTACTCACAAGGGAAGTCACTTTTTTCGCAGACGGACTTTGAAACGGGACCTAGTAGGTTTCAAACGTGAAGCGTCTGCGATCATAACACTGATTTCCAAAAGTGTTTACGGCGCTTCTCGGCCGAGAAAATCGACCGCAAAGTTTAGCCAAAATGAGCGAATAGCCTCCCCAAAAGAAACAGCTTATTTCATCTGCAGTGGTGGCCGAGTGGTCAGTGCGCTCGCTTTTTGCGCCAGAAGAGGCGGGTTCGATCCTCTGCGCAGTTTATTTTCTTTTTTGGTTCGTAAATATTGATTTAGTATGTAAACTTATAATGTATACACTTTTTTAATTTTTTTGCAGCAATTTAAACATAAATTCAAATCTGAATGTTCATGAATATTGTAAAGTCAAAACAGGCCTGGGTTAATGAAGATATAGTTTCTAAATTCGTGTTTTATTAAAAATTGCTAATAGTTAGCACATGCGATGTTAACGGCATTTCGCTATTTACTTCAGTGGCCAAAAGAAAACCATCCGCAGACGGCCGAAGTCGAACTCACGTCGTTTGGCGCAAAAAGCGAACGCGCTGACCACTTGGCCACCACTGCAGATGAAATAAGCTGTTTCTTTTGGGGAGGCTATTCGCTCATTTCGGCTAAACTTTGCGGTCGATTTTCTCGGCCGAGAAGCCCCGTAAACACTTTTGGAAATCAGTTTTATGGTCGCAGGCGCTTCACGTTTGAAACCTACTAGATCTCGTTCCAAAGTCCGTCTGCGAAAAAAGTGACTTCCCTTGTCAGGAACAATATTCTGTAATTACGCCTGGTCCAAAATTAGAGACAAATTTTTATATAGCTTTCCCTCCTGATCTCTCTGTATTGTTTCAGACAGCAAGAGTTTCACAGATTACTAATCCCAATGTTATTTTGCATATCAAACGCGCTGGTCCTGCTATACTCATCCTACCCGACCCTTTTTTACTATGATGAAAAAAACAGTTTTTAAGCAAGTTGGAGAAGGAAGAGGGGTCAACTAATCAAGCAATGTTTCAATGTGAGTAATAGGTTTCCATTAGATCAACTGCGTGATCAGAATCAAAATGACGCAGTTGTTTCCGAAAAGACCAGAGGGAATACTGAGATTACAATAAGAAATGTGAAAATGGGGTTGCCTTACAGGTAAAGTCACATGAACGACTTGCGGCTTCGAACTGCGCAGAAAAAAATTCAGGATAAAAGCGACACTCTAGCGACTTTTCGAACGGACTATCCTTACAAGTTGTTCTCTATTTCCTCAAAATTGCAATTACAGTGGAGGACCTGACCCAGTGGCAAAAAGCGTACCATTTTGCATCCGGGAAGTATTAAAAATGTGGCAAAATGCTTCCCTCTCCAAGTGAAAAAACTCCGATTTCAAAAACGCGCCTGCTCTTTTTGCGAGGTAAATGGCGCGCCCTTCAAAACGAAGTTTTTTCACTTGGAGAGGGAAGTATTTTGCCACATTTTTGATGTTTCCCGGATGCAAAATGGTACGTTTTTTGCCACTGGACCAGGTCCCCCACTGTATTATTTAAAAATATGGTTCAAAAATCAATGGGGCGTGATCTTGATCAACCCACAGTTAACACTCTATACGTGACTATAAAAACTTATTAAGTCGTCGGGTCTTAACATTTTATGAAGCGCTATTGCCAGTTCATGCACTTTATATTTTCAAAACGGTGTACAACGGCTATAATTTCAACGTGTTTCTTGCTGCTAATACCGATTTTTTGGGAAGCCAAGAATGAGATTTTTTGCTCTTTTTACGATTATTATGACCTGTGTCAGCGCAGCTCCTCAATACCAATATCAATACAATGGAGTTAATTCTTCGCCGTACTATGGAGTTTATCAAGCTCAGCCCAGCGGATATTATGCTCCACGATCGTATGCGCCAGCTGCCGATACTCGGGTGTTTGCAATTTCTTTTGAGACGGGAAATGGTTTATAGAATTTTGACAATAAGTTTTCAATACTCATTTCGTGATGAGATGATTATTACCTTTCTATGCGCATAGATTTTGATCTCAAACGCTTTAATTTACATTGTAATGTAGTTGATTGTGTACAAAATAATTCATATTGAATAAATTGCTTGTTTTCATTCAATTTTTAGACATTATCAGACTATGCTGCAATTAACCTCATATAAAATGACGATGAAGAGCTGCTTTTACTAGGTTGTTAAAAACCTTAAAAATCGTCAGTCACGTTGTCAAATTGCCGTCATTTTCGTTATGTCAAATTTTTCTGTCATTTTGATTGTCAAATTGAACTTTTTTGGAAATTTTTTACAGATTTTTACTAAAGGATCACAAAAATTTAAAATTTTTGGGAATTAAATCACCCCTAGAGAGGAGCCCCTTCTTGTCAAAACGATCGCTGAAATAAGGAGTAAAACCAGTTATGAGAAACATTAACGGTACTCACCACAGTCTATGCTAAACTCGGGTTTGAAAGTTTCGTATATCAGAATTCCCAGTTTAGCCAAAACTCACAAAGATGACGCCAATTTGACTTCAAGTTGACTTCAGATTGAAAAAACCCCGTCAAATTGAACCCTAGCTTTTACTATCATCGCACCTCTAATTGTCATCATTTCCTTTTACGTTCTTTCCATTCTCATCGTCTTTAAAAGTGAAAAAGGTCTTCATTATTTCGTTCAAACGCCGCCAAAAATCCGACAAATGATGAACGTTTAAAGTGCAAGTAAAGTGTCAAAGCTCAGGTAACAGATGAAGACCAACTTCATATTCTGACTTGTGCAATTTACGAGGAAAGAAGTCCCAGTGTAACAGAAAAAGCAGTTCGTTGAATGTTTAAAATTATCATGAACTTTTATGATAACTACGCGTTTTGTTTTTGAAATATAATATATGAAGTACCGTACGATCTTCACGTGAACTGTCACAAAATTTTTGACAAAACCCCAACGCTTTACAACAAAATCCATTCTTTTGAAAACTAGCAAAAAATCTTATTTTGAAATAAAATTTTTAAAATTTTTAATTAACCCTTTCCGGACGAGTCGGCACGTATATATTAAAATGAAAGAGGGTACCCTACTGAGTAACGGCATAATAGTGGTTCAGCCCATCGAAGCGTTATTTGGGACTTATGACAAAAAATGTCCTAAAAAGTATCGTTTCGAGCTGCGCCCGTCCCTTCGCGGCTCGCGGCGACATTTTATACGATCAAACCTTTACACTTTCAACATTTCCGCGTTTTACAGAAATATGCCTCATAGGTTTTTTGTGGAAATGTTCTAGTAAGAAGGTAGGATCACAATAGATTCGGAAAAACCACGTTTGGACCGAAATGGTTGATACCGGCGGAAGATATACTTGATTTTAGGCCCAAAATTGACCAAAATTAAAAATTCAATTTCCAAAAATCGATAACAAATCCTATGGTGCTCCGATTTGGACAGTTCTTGGATGTAACAATACTAGGACTCCTCGACTTTAATTTAGGGGTAGTTTCCGATTTACAGCTTGTCGCAAAAATTTTAAAAGTGATATGTCAAGTGGGGGTACTTTTAAGGACATTTTTTGTCATAAGTCCCAAATAACGCTTCGATGGGCTGAACCACTATTATGCCGTTACTCAGTAGGGTACCCTCTTTCATTTTAATATATACGTGCCGACTCGTCCGGAAAGGGTTAAAATCAGTAAGTAAAAAAACGTAGAAACGTATGTCAAATCAAACAATGGCTCTAATTTTCCAATATTTACTTCGTCAATGATAAAAACAAACAAAAAATGAAAAGAACAACCTATAAGTTGAACATGAAACAAATGAATTTCCTAATATTTCCTCTTCTCGTCTCGAGTAAGATCCACTTCATTCTTTCCGAAACCAACTGTGTGCATTTCCGGATATGTGATTTGGATTTTTGGCAGGCTTTCCCGGAACATGGCGCGGATTCTTTGCTCGCTGCGGACCCAGGGATTCATGTAGAAATGGGCGCGTCGGAGGGCTAAAAATTAAAATTTTACAAAATTACAGTAACAAAAATTGAGTCAACAGAGAAAATACTTTGCAAAAAATCATTGGGGGCCTACAGAAACATAAAAAAGATTAATTTGCGAAGAAATTCATTCAAAGAATTGGGGCTTCGGTAGTTGAGCCCCCCACGAAAGGTAGTTCAAACCCTCACTGTTTTGCCCGTTTCACACCCCACATAATAAACAAATTAGAATAATACAAAAAATGTAAGTGGGGGTTTGATCTACTACGTTGGGGGTTTGATCTAAAACGTAGGGGGCTTGTGCTGGACCATACAACTTGGATTAATTCTTTGAAATAAATTTTGGGATTTAGAATGGACGAGGGGGTTTGTACTGGGTCATGGGGGGCTAAACTGGACTGGGGGGCTGTACTACCTTAGCCCCAAAGAATTAAATCTTGGCCAAACGTCCAGTATAGGCTAACAAAATTGAAAATTTTAGACGAATAAAAAGTTTCACATAGCCTCTACTACATCCACTTTTATTACTTGAAAAAATCGATAAAACCGAGAAATCAGAAGAAATTAAAAAAAAATCCGGGTCCCAACAAAATTACCCTGGAAATCGGAAAACGCCGAAAAAATACCATTTTCACTTTAAAATTACAACGGTCCCTTATTATCAGTCTGTCGGGAAAATAACGGAGGATCGTCCCGCCTCGGAATCGCCCATCATCGCTTTGCGACGGCTGCCGAAGCTGGAGATTTGGCGCGCGATAGTGGTGAGGCGAGACATTTTGATGCGACGATCCGCCGTTATTTTCCCGACAGACTGATATCATCCTAATATTTAGTTTCACAACCAGTAAAAATCATAAATGCAACACAAAAAAACCTATCCAAACACGTCTACTACAATATCCCAAGAAATTCAAAAATTGCAAAAAACACTCTTTCCCCATAAATGGAATCCAAAACAACACACAAAAAAATCTATATCCCTTACAGTGAAGATGAGTCATTTGTTGGAAGGCAATTTCATTGATATGTCCATTAAAACATATTTCAATTTCCTGGAGGGTCGCTCTCAGCCTTCCCGCGCACATGATTCTGATGGCGTCGTTGTAGAAGTAGTCGCAGAAATTGAGGACCATTTTCTTAACTTGTCTTAGCTCAAGAAGATATTGGAATCCCGGATCCACAATTGCTGAGTCGGTGGCGTCGATTACATCAATAAAAACTGGGGGCGCTTTGCTCCATCGGGCCAAATAATAGGGATTTCTGGATAACAAATTCAATTCATCGATTGGAGTGGGCTTCAGATCGGGAGATAGGGGTGTCTAAAAGGCCGAAACGTAAATTGGGGAATTCAAATTGCCAATAAATCAAAAAAAAAAAAAATAATGAAAAATAAAAAAACTCGGTAAAAGTATCAAAACGCAATGAAATTTGGTATCAAAAAGTATCACAGAGATTAGAAAACTCCTTCCATTTTGTCAAGAGTAATTTGGAGATTTTTTAAGTGCCATTTTCGCTCAAAAAACGTTCAAAAAACATCAATTTTTTCTTGAAATTTTCGAATCCAAAAATAAAATTTTCCTCAAATTTCCCACTTCACCTACCAATTTTTTTCTATCGAACCCATAAGATTTTAGGAACTCTTTCATCTGTTTTTGACTAGTAATTTCGGTTCCATCGCTCATTCTCACAGACGTCGCTCCGCAGTTCATCAGCCATTCCAGGCAAGCTAAATCGGGCCCAAACGCTGCTACTCGCTCAAATGAGTACCTAAAAATCGTAAAATTAAATTTAAAAAAAAATTTTTTTGATTAAATATTTAAAAATGCCCATTAAATCGCGTACCTATTAACTGTATACTTTGCTAGTTGTCTTCGAATTTGAATGGCTTCCCAAAACCAGTCCGTGACACCTTCGTCTTTCTTTCGGCCCCAAAAGTCTTTGATTATGTTCTCGCTGTTGCCATGTGCCATTCTAGTCGGCTCTATCCGATGCGGCCTTATCCTTGATGGCCTCGGAGTGCTGTGGAAACATGCTGTTGAAGTCGTCGGAATTTGAGATCGTATCCTGAGCAGGTTCAAAAACATAAGCTAAAATAATCTTACTTCCTAACAACCGTTAAAAAACTAATTTTCATTCAGTATTCTTTGTTTTGCAACAAATTTCATCAAAATCGCTTCAAAACTCGCTTCAATATAACAAAATTTATATTAACCATGAACAAATATGAAGAACAATATCCAAAACAATTAACAAAAGATCTAAAATCAACAACAAAAACTTCCAAATAAACACTTCCTTCATCGTATTTTACCCCTCTGCAAGTTTTATTTTCTTAGCTTCCACCTCATATTCTCCTTGAACATCAGATCTCCTCAAGAGTCCGTTGCTCAACTTCATCGACACACAGTACATATCCTTTCTTCCAGCCACGTTGCGGACAAAATGAGAGTTCAAAATCTCAATTTCATCAGCTGGGAGTTGCTCGTGTACCATCTGAATAGCCTTTTGTTTGAACCATTCTGGAGGCTGATCTTCGGTGGCTTTGGCAAAACAGTGGACGTGGCAGTAGAAATTAAATGTGGAGAAGCTAAAATAAGACATTTTTAGTTATCATATGACCATCAGAATTGATCTAAAACAATTTTTTACAAAAAGTTTTTTCGACCACTTAAAATAATATAAGGCTAAAACAAGGTCAATATCCCCAATACAATCAATAGGAATGCTGCCAAAATAGCATAAAACGGTCATAAATATCTTCATCAGTTCAAAAAAAAATAAAAAAATATTTTTTGACCATAAAATTTCATTTTTAAAAATAGCTGTATAAATGAATACAAAACAATTTTTCTTGCTACATTTTATTTCCCAACGACCAAACGAATTCCAAATCTTCATTTTCAATTCAAACCTCCCCTAAAAATCCTAATTTCTCACCTTTTTTCATCCAAACCCTTCAACACTCCAATAAAATTTGGCAAAAAAGTGATGGCCATTGCCGGCAAATTCATAACCGCATGGAATTCCAACCTCTTATCGTCATTTCCATCCGTTTTGCTCCTTTCCAGCTCCTCCTTCACCCCAGTTGGAATCACATTCTTTATAAATTCGGCTCCATCCAAATTGAAGACCTCAATTTTCTCCGCGGGAACTTTGTTAATTTTGATGTTTTCGTTGAGATATTGAATCGACACAGGATTCAGATCATTGGCATATACTTTTTGAGTGTTTTTGGAGAACGCGGCAGGTATTGCGAAAGGTCCCACACCGGCAAAGACGTCAAACAGGACCGTCTGTTCTTTGGAATTTCTTATTTCGGTGACAATTCGGTTGTGTTCGTTGAGAAGCCGGGAATTCCAGAACACCTAAAAATACAGACAAAATATAAAGCTTCTTACCTTGCTAAAGTCGAGTTTGTATTTATAAGAATGTTCAGTTACGGTAGCTTCAAAGTTCGGCTCTCCGGCTAGCAGTTCAAGTTCGAAAAACCTAAACTCCGCGCTGATCTTGTCCGTTTTGTTCACTATTGTCCTAAAAATATTAGATCAATAAGATGCCAAAGTATGCAAAAGTAATTTCAAATGGCCATGAAGCCTTAGAATAACCTTGAAACATCAAAATCCCGACTTACTTGGCATAAGGTATCTTATCTATCAGAATTCTGGCAATTGTATGCTTATAAGGTAAAATTTCCTCGCGCAAATTCAAATGCAGTATATGTCCGGTTTGTGTATGCGAGCTAAAGTCTAATCCTTCAGGCAATATTGCCTTTAGACATCGTTTTACATCCCAATCCTCGTACTTCATCAAAAACTCTTTGTATTCCAATTTAACACCCTCTGAAAGAACTTGGCTAACGGCTTCCTCGACGATCCTTTGTTGTTCGTCGTTCATCTTCTCTGGATCAAGCAGGCACAGCTTGTCGAACCCGTTATCTCCATTGATTACCCTCGAAAACCAAGAAATAATTTAAAAAATGAAATCTTACTTTGAAATTCAATCCGGACTTGATAAAATTCGGTTGCAATTGTTTTAGACCAAGAACTCGGCCGATCTTTTTGGCTGGCACTCGCAGAACAGGGAGTTTCACCAATTTTCTAAAGGAATTATATTAATATAGTAAACAAACAAGCATCAAAAGAACAGCCACAATCTTCATCCTTCTAATAGAAAACAACTTACTCAAACTTCGTTTTATCAAACTCGGTCATACCTCGAGCTGCAACGGGTGGAAAAAAGACGGACTCATTTTCCGTCGAAGCCTGACCATTTTTTGAACACATTCTGGTAAAAGTTGACGGCCTAACCAAAGACCTAGCTATCCGTAACATCAACTTTTCCTTGATCCATCAAAATTTTGCTATTTTCCGAAAATTTTTCCCTTTTATTTTCCAGGCTTCGAAACGAATATTGCAATGCTGGAAAAATTTGGCATTCTGTTTCAAGCAAATATTTCACAAAAAAATATTTTTCGCCAATTTTTCAAAGCCTCTTGAAAACTTTTTTACCAGTTTGAGTAAGTACTTTTGACCTTTTCATTTTATTTTATCCACATTTACATCGAATATTGCCGTTTGTTTTTAGAATGGCCGAAGACACGTATGTCTGCCCGATTTGCCATGTAAAGGTGAAAAGGAAGTTGGAGAAGGCTCATAAAGTCAGTAAAGACCACAAGAAACGCTTGATTTCGTTGAAGCAAGTGCAAGAGAAACAACAGAAGCTTGAAGAACTGAAACGAAGGGAAGATGCCGAACGGCTAGCGCAGAAGAGGCAAGCTGACAGTGATGAAGAGGATGATGATGGTCCCAGTGTGTCGTCAAAACGATGTGAGTTTGTGTTGTTTTTTTGTTTTTTATTTTTAGGTTATTGCGGACATTGGCTTTGAGTTGGATGTATGTCTCCAAAATTGGTTTAATTTTGGTAATATTTGGTGTCGGAAATACCTAAGATAAGCAAGGCTATGTTTTCAACGCTTTCTGCAGCTTATTCGATCATTTAAAGTGATGAAATCCAAGCAGTCGCTTTTAAAAACAAGATTCTTTAAGCTCATCTATCACCTACTTAAAACAATATAATTTTCAGCGAAACCCGAGGAGATCCATGCTCCAAGTCTGGCGGCCATGGCGGCAGAGCCTGATAAGGATGAAACCGAAGTGGCAAATGCATTACCATCAGACTTCTTTGAGAATCGGACTGATGAAGAGAAAAAAGCGACCAATCTTGATGAAGAATTTGATAAATTTATGTCAGAAGTTAAACAAATTGATCGCAAAGAAATAGAAGCCGCTGAAATTGAGGATGTAGGTGTTTTACACATTTTGTTTTTTCTTTTTAGGAATATGCGACTCTTAATTGTGGAGTTCTCCGTTATATTATCCATGGTTCACCTTGTGTTATTTCAGGAAGCAGATGCCGTCCGGAAGGACATTGATATGATAGATGAGCAGATTGAAATGTGGAGGAAAATGAACGAACTCGAAAAACAAAAGGATTCTATGATTGCTGAAGCCAAGGAGCGAACAGCAAACGAAGAAACGTCAGCCGCTTATGGTGAAGATGAAGATGGAGACGAAAGCGATGACGACGGCTCGGAGTTTGATATATACGGCATTGACTGGCGAGCACGGAGGGTGTAGCTTGTTGTTCATACTGTTTTGATAGTGTGAGGACATAAATATTATATTAACCGAACGGAATTTGAAAAACAAAAGAGTCAGAGAAAAATATTACGCGAATGATCCCAAGAATCGCGAATTTTCTAGAGTTTGAGTCAGGTTTCATACTGCATGGGAAGAGGATCACACGCGATATGAAATCCGGCGATCAAGGGTCTGCGCGCATTACCCGAGACGCACGCTATCTGGCTCCGGTGGCGCCTCAGATTGAAGCGGCTCGAAATGCGAAGGTGTTAATCTCCCTCGGATCTAAACACCGGCTTGACCTCTAGACTACATGAATCTGCAATTTGCCGAAAATCGGGTGATCCGCCGATGAATCCGACACAAACTATAGCGTATACGCCAGAATCCTTGGCGATCTCTGGTATTGAGCAACTTTTTTTTTGGACTAGTCCGTTCGCAAAGTCGAGCCTTTTTTGTGGAACTGGGACGATTGGGGAAAAAGACGATTGGGGAAAAGTACGATTGGGGAAACCGAAAAGTATTATTTTTCTTCCATGCAAATGTCGAATTCAGGATAATAGAGGGTGCTCATTTCGAAAATGACATTTATTTTTTTGATTCTTACTTTTTTCCTTAAGTAGTACTGTTAAAGTCCGAGTTTCAAAAAGCCAGAGCGCAAGCAAGGATTGTTATCGTTGCGGGACCCTGCGCGGCTGGCCTCTCTCGCTAAAAAATAAAATTCTTTTTTATTTGTTGTTTGTAATGGATCATGTAAGGTGAAAGATGAATGAAGATCGCTGAAAAAGGTATGTTTTTTGTGTTTTCTGATTCAGGGCAACTCGGCAAAAATTTTAACGACAGCTGATCCAAGATTTTTTGTGTTTTGGGCGAATGAAGGTAATTTTGGACATTCCGAAGCATGAAAATGGGTGTAGCTTTCCAAAGAACCATCCAGGAGGGATGTTGATCGAGTTTTTGCCAAGTTAGAGTCAATCCCTTCAACAAACTACCTAGTATAATATAATTTTTTCCAGGATTTTGAATTGGAATGCAGCCAGACGGCTAAATTTCACCGCAAGGACTCGCTGAAGCCAGAAGAAGAGACGACACCATTCAAATTCCATGTGGAATGGCTTTTTCCGAAGCTGATGTCAACATCGAAAAGGTGAGTTTTTCTTGGTAAAAAAAATATCTTGCTCCTTGAGCAAGGCAATGGGTTTAGCTTCCCAAACATGCTATCTGGAATACGGTTGCTTCATATTGCGCCACATCATGCCCACTGTTGTTTCCAGTGTAATATAATTTTTACAGGTGAAAACGCTCTCCGACCGCGAAGCTTCGAAGATGCGAAACGTCTGGGACAGTATATGGGCGATAAAGAAAGTCTCATCGATGGCAAACACTGAGGAGAACCGAATCAATTTATTATTGTAAAAACACACCAAATGTTTTGATATTAATCATAAAATATTATACCGTTGACCTGGATATTGTTGAACCTGTCTTTACTGAGCTCTTTAGATGAGGCTGGCGGGCATGGGAGGCGAATGGGCCGGTTTTCCTGTAAAAATTATATTACACGAGAAACATTGGGTCTGATGTGGCGCAAGATGAAGCAACCGCATTCTAGATAGCATGATTGGGAGGCTATACCCATTGCCTTGCTCAAGGAGCAATGGATTTCCCTACCTAAAAGGTGAAAACCAAGAAAGACTCACCTTTTCGATGTTAACATCAGCTTCGGAAAAAGCCACTCCACATGGAATTTGAATGGTGTCGCACGTCAAGATTTTGCGCTCAAAGGGTTATGTATCAACACGAAAGTTGGCATTCTGTTTCCGCTTACGGAAGTGTCCAAAAAATCCGTCTCAATGACAGTTTTTTTGGACGAGGTCAGAGGAAAGGCGAAATATTGCGCAAAATGAAGAGATTTTCTATCTCGAAACTGGCTCATTTGATTTTTTTCGTTTTAGGCTCAAAAAATCCGCCTTGTTCCAGACTATGTTTCCACGAAACTTCAAATAGGGGCGAGGGAAAATCTTAGAGAAATCCTCGAAATCGCAACATTTTTTAGGCGTTGTTAGTTTAGGCTTCAAACAGATAGAAGACGACCGATTTTTTATATGAAATATATATGTTCAGGTTAAGCAGGAGCCCAGCTTCAAATTTATGTATGCAATAACCCCATTCTACCCCATCTTCATCGTGTAATCAGGCTATCTTTATCGCAAAAAATTGTCTTTGAGATCAAACAGAATGCCAAGAATTTTTCATTGCTTGAGCGCTTTTGTTTTATTTTTTCTTGACGTGTGTCGTCTCTTCTTCTGGCTCCAGTGAGTCCTTGCGGTGAAATTTAGCCATCTGGCTGCATTCCAATTCAAAATCCTGGAAAAAATTATATTATACTAGGTAGTTTGTTAAAGGGATTGACTCTAACTTGGCAAAAACTCGATCAACATCCCTCCTGGATGGTTCTTTGGAAAGCTACACCCATTTTCATGCTTCGGAATGTCCAAAATTACCTTCATTCGCCCAAAACACAAAAAATCTTGGATCAGCTGTCGTTAAAATTTTTGCCGAGTTGCCCTGAATCAGAAAACACAAAAAACATACCTTTTTCAGCGATCTTCATTCATCTTTCACCTTACATGATCCATTACAAACAACAAATAAAAAAGAATTTTATTTTTTAGCGAGAGAGGCCAGCCGCGCAGGGTCCCGCAACGATAACAATCCTTGCTTGCGCTCCGGCTTTTTGAGACTCGGACTTTAAGTACTAAAAAAAATTTTTTTTGGATTTAGGGGATTTCGAAGGTGCTGGTTTCGAAAATCACGTTCATTTTTCCTCTAGTACTATATAGTACTATTCTGATACTATATAGTACGAGGTCAAAATATGGCTTTTGACGTTAATGGTGTTGTTTTGGTGCTTAGTACTCTTCAAAAACACGTTTTAAAGACTTGGTGCTATATAGTACTACCTGATACTATGTAGTACGAGGTGTAAAGTTGGCCTTTAGGCGTTCGTGGTGTTGTTCTGGTGCTTAGTACGCCTATTTTTACTTCGTACTACATAGTATCAGAATAGTACTATGTAGTACTAGAGGAAAAATTTACATGATTTTCGAAATCAGCACCCTCGAAACCCCCTAAATCGAGTATTTATGAAAAAATCAAAAATTACTACTTTACAGTACTACTTAAGGAAAAAAGTAAGAATCAAAAAAATGAATGTCATTTTCGAAATGAGCACCCTCGATTATCCTAACTTCGACATTTGCATGGAAGAAAAATAATACTTTTCGGTTTCCCCAATCGTACTTTTCCCCAATCGTCTTTTTCCCCAATCGTCCAACTCCGCTTTTTTGTCACTTTGCGAAGATAAAAGTTTTCTTTCAACTGTGAAATTTTCGTCTTTTGCAATCGGATTTTTTGGGTTGTCGCTCGCACCCTGACTTTTTCTGGACAGATCAAACGCCAAAAAATCACTCCAGCGACTTTGCGAACGGACGAGTACTCCGTCGTCCGGAGTACTCGCTAGGCATGTCTCAAACAGATTGCTCTTTCCAAGAATCTAATGGGTTTCATCCGTGGTAGGGAATTTATCAATCAAGACCCTGTTGAACGGGCTTTCAAAAGTTTCATCGGCTTGCTCCTTTCTTTCTCACTGTCAAAAAAGTTGATCATTGTGAAATATCGGTCATCGATATCACAAAAATGCACCACATCGTCTTTTAATCCTCTGTCCACTCACCTTTGACTTTTTAGAAAAAAAGGCACTACATCCTTGTCTTCGCTTGAACCTATTTTATGCATTTACATCTTGTTGCCTTTAACCTCTTTTCGTCGTCTCCGATAAAAGTCGGGTCGCTAAGTGCTACTCTTCTCCGAATTTACTCGGCATTTAATTAAAAAAAGCAACGGCTGATAAAATTCCTTGAGTCATTTCACAGCGCCTGACTCCACTCACATCAATAATATCTGGGTAAAAATTGCGGATCTTCGTTTTCTGCCGCAAATTTTGGTCTTTTATTTATATGTTACAACAACACAGGGTAAAGAAAACTAACGCTAGGTAATACTAGAGAAAATTAGAAAAAGTGGACATATTTCAAGTCTTTGCCAAGTCTCCGCCGAGCCTTCGCCGAGCGTCCGCCGACCATCCAACGGCTTTGCCAGGCCTCGTAGGCCTTCGTAAAACCTTTTTCGGCGGACAATTGTTTTGCGATTTTTTCTACAAAAGTTCCACTGTGTGCGGTGAAATAAAACTAGCGCGAAAAGGTAAAATTCTGCGCCAAAGATAACAAAGTCTGATACGTACGACACGAGACAACAACGGCGACGGATTTCGCGACTCCTATCGGTGCGAATCTTGGCACATTTTTCGCGGAGAGTTCCGAGAGTTCAAATGTGAGGGCATAAGTATCACAGACTTTCAAATTCATCAATACAAAACGTTAATTTTGACGAATTTTGCCCGAACTCTTCTTTATAATATCAGTACATGAAGGATTTTTTAAAAAGGAATTTTTTAAAAAGTCTGCCAAACTCCTACAACGATGAAATCAAATATTATAGTTTGGGATCTTAAATTTGGGATGTTACGAATTGTGTGACCTTTGAGGGATTCGGATTTCAGTCCGTGTTCAGTTTGTGCTTTCCAATTTCTGAGAACAAACTTTGTCGCAGTGGTCTAAATAGCCTTGAAACAACCCCAAGATGTCTAGCTTAGAAATTAAAGTTCGAGATTTCTTCGCGGATGGAGGTAAGAAAATGTGGTATTCAGCGTGTCAGCAATACAATCAACTGCTTTTAAGCGTGCCAGCAAGACGAAGAAGTGGTACTCAGCGTGTCAGCAATAACATCAGCGTTCCCAAAACATGATGAAAAGTACATGGACAGAAAAGTTCCTGTGGTCGCTCTCGTCTACAGCAAGGTGTTAAAGATCCTTGCACAGCATGGGACAAAATTTTGAGCAACGAATATATTATATGTAGGTTCTTATGCACTTTACACAATTACGTTTCCTGCCGACGACACGCGGCCGCGGTGTCATACCCGCGCGCGGGTATGACACCTTTAAGAAAAAAAGTTTGCGATCAGCATTTTCGATCATCCAGAAGCTACGCTTAGACGTCGAATTTACAAGATATAATATATGCCCAACTTTATCAAAATACCGTGCCCACAAATGCTGTGGCCGAAAATTATTGCCCACAAGTGTGGAAATATGAACGGAAACCCTTGCATTGAAGTGAACGAATGGGAAGCCCCGTTCGCTGGGTATAAATCTATTATAGGAAGAGATCTTGTGCTCTCTTCAAAACGGCTTCGCGACTGTACCGTGTAGACATGGCTAGTGGGCCGGGCCCCCTATGGGGCCGGGCTGGGCCGGGCCAAGCGAGTTCGAAAGGCCCCCGGGCCGGGCCGACCTCTTCCGGCCCCCGGGCCAACCGTGGGCCCCTAACGGCCCCCAATGACTACAGGGTGCGGCAATTTTTCGGCCGGATTTTAATTTGCCATAACTTTTTTAGTTTTTGGGCAAATGTCAAAATTCTTTTTTTCCCTGAATCCATAGACAACCCCATTTTGTTTAATACCAAATATGTTATACCCGTTCATTAGACTACAGTAAAAATTCGAGACAAAGAAAAAGCTCTAATTTTCATAGCTGACAATGGAATTACCCCTAGTGCGACCCTCAGGTTTTCTTTAAATTTTGCATATGGGCCGGACATAGGCCACACATCAATTCCTGAAAGTTTCAGCCCGCACCTTTCAGGGGCGACCAAGATATTCAACGATTCTTTGCGGTCAGGAGGGCACATGAGTGGCCACACAGAAAAACTTTTTGGCTATATCTTCGCTAGTTTTGTGCGGAGATAGCTGATTTTTTGTGGAAACGGTATTCTCCATGGCATGGACAGGCATGAAACTTTTTACGACAAAATTCGTAAAAAGAGTTATTTTTTCTGGCGATTTTCACACACGCCGAAAAAGCAGAGAAAACGACCGAAATGCCAATAACTATGAACTAGGTCCCTGTATATATAACATACTTGGTATTAAACAAAATGGGGTTGTCTGAGGATTCAGGGAAAAAAAGAATTTTAACATTCGGATAAAAACTAAAAAAGTTATAGCCAATTCAAATCCGGCCGAAAAATTGCCGCACCCTGTAAATTTCTGAGTCTGAAAGCGAAATAAAACGCAGAGCCAAGAACCGATTGGGTTTTTTGAAGTAATTTAGGCTGATTTTTGCGCATGATTCTTGCAATGTGGTGCTGGTGTTGTCGTGCAGAATAAACATTTGTT